TAAAAACATACAAAATCACCAAAAGATAAGGCTTACTAGTGTTATTGAGAATCGCAAAACTTATAAAACCATGGCCCTTGGTTACTCATTAAGCCTGGAACTAAACCCACTCTCATAATACAATTTTCAGTCAAACAATAAACAAGCTTACAAAGTGAACAATAATACCAGTGAAGGACTTGCTTTTTACAACAATAAACCATATTAAATCAGAAATGTTTCATTTGCTAAGGCATATTGCTCAAAGGCAAAGGGGCAAAAGGAAAGAAAGACAAATAGATATTAGAAGCATAAGGCAGAAGCAGGGAAAATGCTGTTACAAACTGAAGCTGTTAACAATTTCAATCTCTACATCATTAAGCTTCAATCCATATTGAAGGCTGCAGTCTTTGATCTTCTGCAACAAGTGCTTCAGGTCCTCCTCAGTTTCAGCAAGCAAGGTTATGTCTTCTGCATAATGCAGGTTGTTGATGAATCTTCCTTCAATCCTGATGCCACATTCCTTCTATACAGCACTGCCTCCTTGATGATCTGTTCTGAATATAGACTGAAAAGATATGGAGACAGAATACATACACCCCGGCATACACCCTTCCTGATTTTGAACCATGCAGTGTCTCCTTTCTCTGTTCTGATGACTGCCTCCTAGTTCAAATACAGGTTTTACATAAGCACAATAAAATGTTCTGGGATTCCCATTCTTCTCAAAATCAGCCATGTTTTGTTGTGATCCACACAGTCAAATGCCTATTCATAGTCAATGAAATACAGACATTCTTCTGGCACTTTCTGCTTTCATCCAAGATACATATAAAATTAGCTATAATATTCCTAGTACCAAGGCTTCTTCTAAACCAAGCCTACACATCTGGCAGTTCTCTGTTATGTGTTGCTCCAATTGTTTTTGGAAATTTTTCAGCAGAATTTTGCTTACATGTGATATTAATGATTTTATAATTTCCACACTCTGTCAGGTCATCTTTCTTTGGAATGGGAATAAATATAAATCTATTCCAGTCAGTTGGCCAGCTGGCTGTCCTCCAGATTTCTCAGCACAATTTAGTGAGCACATCCAGTGCAGCATCAATTTGTTGAAATATGTCAATTGGTGTGCTGTCAACTCCAGGAGCCTTGTTTGTTTGTTTGGTTTTTGCCAATTCTTTCAGAGCAGCTTGAATTTCTTCCTTCATCACCACAGGCTCTTGCTCATATGTTGTTTCATGAAATTCTTCTGTGTCAGCCAATTCCTTCAGGTACAGTGACTCTGTATACTGCTTTCATCATCATCTTTTACTGCTTCTTGGATAATTTCATATTCTGCAAAAGCATCCTTAAGTATTGCCACTCATGACTTGAATTTGTTTTTCAATTCCTTCATCTAAAGAAATGTGGAGTGGGTTTGGCCCTTTTGATTTTCTGTTTCCAGTTCTTTACACATCACACTATAATACTTTGTCTTCCTGAGCTGCCCTTTGAAAACTTTTGTTCAGCAACTTACTTTCTTGATTTTTTTCCCTTTGCTTTGGCTTCTTGGCACTCTAGTGCAATATTCAGAATCTCATCTGACATCCATCTTGATCTTTTCTTCCTTCTCTGCCTTTGTAATGATCTTTTGCATTCTTCATGGATGATATTCTCTATATCCTCCTACAGCTCATTTGGTCTTTGCTCATTGGTGTTCAAGGCTTCACACTGGTTCCTAAGAGGGTTTTGAAATTCAAGTGGGATAGAGTTAAGGTCAAATTTTGGTTCCTATGGATTTGATTTCATTTTCTTCAACTTCCATTTGCCTGTTGTTGTTGTTGTTGTTGTTATGTACTGTCGACTCGTTTGTGACTCATAAGTGACTCTACGTACAACAGCCCTAAACCCTACTCTATCCTGTGCCAATAGCACTGCCTCTGACACACCCATCCCGATTACCCCAGTCACTGAATCGATCTATCTCATAGAGGGTCTTCCCCTCTTGCACCGTCCCTCCACCCTCCCAAGCATGATGTCCCTCTCCAAGGACCTGTCCCTCCTTGCAACATGCCCAAAGTATGTCAGACAAAGCCCCAGAATCCTTGCCTCCAAGGAGTAGCCTGGTTTAACCCTCTCCAGGATGAATCTGTTTATTTTCTTGGCAATCCATGGTACATTCAATATTCTTCTCCAGCACCACAGCTCAAAGGCATCAATTCTCCTTCTGTCCTCCCTAGTCATTGTCTAACTCTGATGCTTAACAAGTGATTGCAAAGACCATGGCCTGTCTCCACAAGGTGGCGATGCAGTATCATGGGTGGGCACACAAATGCAGATAGTCTGGTGTTCAAATCCCAGGTCCACCATTTACCAGCCCTACTCCATTTGCCTAGAGACTTATTATTCCCGTTTCATTTCTGAAATTCCACTGACTCTAACCTGGAATTTTCTGAGAAATCTGCTGTATTTTTTAATCATTGCCCACAAGTTGTATATATGTTTTACTGAAATACTTTCAATATTTTTCAATGTTTTTACTTTGATGATATTTTATTATGATTACAAGCAATGTATAGAATAATATTCTTTCAATATAGCCTGCTTATCAGATTATCAAATTTGAGGTTTTCAACAAATTTAGTAAGTTATTATTTTAAAATAATTTTACTTCTTAAGACATTATTTATTATACCAATCACTTGCCTCTCTCTGGATCTCCATGACAGGAATATTGCACCTTTCATATTGTTTCTCATATCTGAAAAGGGCATGCCAGGAAGGGTGGGGTTGGAGAAGGAGAAAAAGACCCTCAATCATGCAGATCGACATTATGATTGCTGCAATGGGCTCTAGTTGTCAGTAAGTATGAGGATGGCACAGAATAGAACAGTGTTCAGATCTTTTGTTCGTAGGGTTGTTATGAGTCATTTTTTACTTGACAGCACCTAACAACTCATGCCTGAGAATTTGTTAATTTTCTTTTTTTAACTGCTTTTATATTGTAGTATAATGCATATTATGCAACATTTGCCACATTAAACATTTTTCATGATAATTTCATCAGCACTGCTTTTCCTTTTAATGGTATGTAACCTTCACTGCTAAAACATACAAAATTCCCCTTCCACTGTCACTATTAATTAATAACCCTTATTCTTCTATCTCTATAATCTCTGTTGGTGCTGTTGTTGTTGTTGTTATATACTGTCCAACAATTAGAACTAACTAATACCTGACCCTCCAGCAGGTTTCAGAGGCAAGGAGAAATGACATCCACTTTCTAAACAACATGCCTCTGGAAACTCTATGAACTTTGATAAATGTCCATAGTTTTAGAGGGGCTTCAAGCTTTTTGTTCATAGGGTCGCTAGGAGCTGTACTCGACTCGAAGGCAATCAACAACAATAAATTTCATAAGAGGAACTCATCTATTTTTCTTCCATGGAACAGCTAGTAGATTCAAAGCACCTCCTTTTGGGGAGTGTGAGTGTAACTCCTTACCACTAAGCCATCGAAGCCTAAATTCTACTTCTTGTCTACTAATTTGTCTTCACTACTTTCCTTTTATATGTGTTGGAGCTCTATGCTTAATCATGAACATTTTTAATCTTTGTTCTCCAAAGCAGATCATTTCTATTGATACATGTTCACTATTTCTTCTGTCATCTCCACCACCAAACTCATTCACTTAATTATTTTTATTTCAAATATTGCATTTTTCCGTTCTAGAATTTCATGTAATTCTGTCTTCTGGTATCTATTTCTTTGCTGGGAAGATCTATATTTCTATTATTTAAAGATACATAGTAAACAAAATATATTTTGTGTGCCTTTGAGTATTGTTTAAAGAAAGGATTAAGTATTGACTAATTTAAATGGAGTTCTGGTGATCTGGTGGCAAGAAGTTGTGCTGCAACCCCAGAGGCATGCACTTTGAGGCCACCAGCTGCTCCACTGGAGAAAGATGGGCAGTCTCCTCCCGTGTGACTAACTGCCTCTGAAAACCTTCTGGAGGGTCAGGTATGGGTCGGTTCTGACTCTATAGTACACAACAACAATTTATATACATATGTACTCGAACAAAGGAGTCTTAATGATATATTGGTTCAGTATTACTCACCTAGAAATGGAAAGTCTGATAGTTCAAATTCCCCAGCTATGGGGAAATATGAAGTAATCTGTTCCTATACGGTGATTGATTATATAAAACATAATGCATGGGAATGATTATACATAATACAATTTGAATGAAGAATAGTGTGAAACACAATGTAAGCAAACCAAACAGAATAATTTTCTTTAGTTAAAACAAAAATTCAGCCATAAGAACTTTTTGGAAGCAGGAGTGCCATCTACTTTCTAAACAACGTGCCTCTGGAACCTCTATGAACTTTGATAAATGTTAATAATTTTGAAAGGCTTCAGGCCTTTTGTTCATAGGACCACTATTAGTTGTGCTCCACTTGATGACAATCAACAACAACAACAACTTAAGAATTGTACCCTGTCCAATGAGGTTCTATGAATCAGAACTGATTTGATGGCAGTGGGTTTGATTTTGCTATGGAAACCAAAGAAAACCAGAAGATTACATTATTTCAACTTGAATTACATTATTTCAACTTGATTATATTAATTTATCTCAACTTGAATTGGGTATTCTGACAAAAAATTGAGAAATGGCAGTAAGTAAATCATTACTATCTTGATAAACTCAAGAAGTAGATAAAGAGGAAGTAAATGGATAATTTCAAGGGCAATAATAAACAAATAATTTTGAGATGAAAAGTAAGCAAAGAAATAGTCTATGAATAAAGAGCTTAATTGGACACATTTGTGAAAGCCTATCTGAGTACACTTAAATTTTGAATTATGTTTCATTGTGTACCTTTGTCATTCTTCACAGAGAATTAAAATCATATTCAGTGCTATAATATTCAAATTTATTGTTGATGCATTTAAACATGTAACTGAAAAATGTGAGGTATAAAAATTTAAAGTTAATGATGATCAAGATAAATACCTTATTTTATTATTCATGAAATCTTTCTAAAAATCATGAGTGGTTTAAAAACTCTTTTCATTGCTGTCTTCATCTCTTTATTCCTCAAGGTGTAGATGACTGGATTTAGGAAAGGAGTGAGAACTGCATCAGAGAGAGCGAGAAATTTGTCCATCTGGGCATTGGGATTTGGCCATGTGTAGACAAACATGGTTGGGCCAAAGAAAAAAAAGACCACAGTGATGTGAGCTGACAGAGTAGAGAGGGCCTTGGATGTACCACTGGATGAATGTTTCCAAACAGTAAACAGAATAAAGATGTAGGAGATGAGGAGTATAAGAAAAGATCCAACACAAATAAATCCACTGTTTATCGTGACCATAAACTGTAGTTTATAAGTATCTCTGCAGGCCAGTCGTAGAAGCTTGGGTAGGTCACAGTAAAAGCTGTCCAATACATTAGGGCCACAGAAAGGTAAGTTAATGATGAATGCCAGCTGGAAGAGTGAGTGAATAATACCAAGGGCCCAGGCAGCAGTCAGAAATAAAATACACATTCGTGGACTCATTATGGTCAAGTAGTGAAGAGGTTTGCATATCGCAACATATCTGTCAAAAGCCATGGCTATGAGCAGCACCATCTCCACACCACCAATGACATGGATGAAGAAGATCTGAGCAATACAACCTCCAAAGGATATGACTTTGTGCTTCCTGAAAAGGTCATAAATCATCTTGGGGGAAGCAGTGGAGCACGCCCCCAAGTCAAGGAAGGAGAGATTGGCCAGTAGGAAATACATGGGGGAATGTAAGTGAGGGTCAACAGTCACAGAAAACACAATGAGGGTGTTTCCAGCCATGCTTGCCACATAGAGCACAGAGGAGAACACAAGGAGGAAAAGCTGGACCTCCCACGAATTGGTGAGTCCAAGAAACACAAGTTCGGACACCACAGAATAATTCCTGCCATCCATTGTTCTAGCCAGCTGGGCTGCCACTGAGAGTCAAAGACTTAAGAAAATGAGAAGACAAAATCATTCCTTGGAATATTGTTGTTATGTACTATTGACTAGGAAATGATCCATAAAGCTGACCCTCGAGTGGGTATTTAGAAGCTGTAAATCACATGGGAGGAGAATATTCATCTATCTCCTGTGAAGCAACTGGTGGACTTATACTACATGCCTTACCAATATCCCACAAGAGCTCCTTACTAGATATGTATGTGACCTTAATTATTTGTGATGCAGTGCAGTATGGACAAGAAGTACCCAGTCATCCAGTTCTTCACACTTCTTCAATGATGGTGATGATAGTAACAGTTATGATATAAGCACAATTCAAGAACATGTAAGATCAGAGCTATCAGCAAACTCTCCAATAGCCTCAAATAGCTGTTAGGCAAGGACAAAAGCTTCACGAGTACCTATGGCAAGAAATAAAACATACTAGCAAGAATGTATTCCTATTCATAAAGAGAACGATAAATATCAACATAGGACACGTAGGAAAATACTTCCAATGGAGTGGAGAAGGTGTGAGTAGCAAAAAGTATATAGCAAATATATTATTTGTATAAAATTACAGTAGATCAACAACCTAAGTGCCCATCAACATATGAATGGATAGAGAAGCTCTGGCATATTCACACAATGGAATACTGCACTGCATTGAAAAACAAGGAACTCATGCAATATCCAAAATGGGTGACCCTGGAGGACATTATGCTGAGTGAAATATCTCAGTCACAAAAGGACAAATACTGCATAGTGCCACTGTTGTAAAACGAGACTGTCATAGGGTTTGGGGAGAGACTGAGAAAGGGGATATAAAATGTATATGGCATTGAAACAGATGAGGGAGAAAACTGTTTAAATGGGATATGTGATTAGGTATTATTGTTATGACAGGAGTCTAGAACAAAGGCTGCATAGTGGAGTGGACCTGGGGGGAGGGATTGTAAAACAATGAAAGAATTGTTCTTTTACTTTTCAAAGAGAAGAGTGCACTAGGGAGGGGGAAGGGGCAGGCAGGGAGAAAAGTGCAACAATGAATGAATGGAAATCCAAAGTCCCGGTAAATTTTCATTAAAATTAATAATAATTTTTAAAAAATGACATTGATAAGCTTAAAAAAATATAGTAGATGAGAATAAATTATGTCATTGCCCCTAAGAAAAATGAGGTAGATTTTCATAGCATATCTGATCATGTATTTCCCTCTTAAACTCATCCTTTGTGTGCTAACTTTTATACATCACACCATACACAATTTTTATTCAAAGTAATATTGAACAGAAATATAACATGAGTGGGAATTTTAATCAGTTATTTATTCTTGTGAGTAAAAGTTGACTAAAATACGAGATGCGACAGAAAAAAGAAGAAACAAAGTAAAGAATAAACTGAATACTGAGATTAAAAGAAATAACATTGTGTACGTGAATTAACAAAGTTAGACGAGAGCTCTGTTGGCCTAGTGGTATGGAGCTGCTCTGCCATTCAAAAGCAGGTAAGAGTGTAGAAGTGGGAAGACTCTATGAGCTTTATCAAGATAGAATGATCACTCTTTTTTTATCTGATTCATAGCTCTGTTGTCTTCTCATTTCTTAAAAGTTTGGTCAAAATTACGCAGTTTTACAACACTCAATAACATTTCCTTTGAAGCTTATATCTGGCTTTATAAGATTTTTCTCATGGTTTAAGAAATATACCAAGATTTGAGATTTCAATCTAGTTCTTGCTAAGACATACGGCTACCTATATAACCACCAAGAGTGTGAAATACGTCTTCAAACAACTTTCCTTGTTCACCCACATTAATCTGACTATGGTCAGGGATGGAACTCTTATGGCATGGTGGTAAAAAAAATGGCACTGTCTGTGAAAAGATATGTGGTTTGAATCTACCAGCTGCTCCATGGGAGAAAAATAGGCAATCTCTTCCCATGCAATTTTACTGCCTCTGAAAATCCACTTGAGGGTCAGCTATAAGTCAGTCACAAAGCAATGGTACACAACAACAATGGTCATGGAAACACTGAAATACTAAATTTGTCTTAACAGTGTCTTAATCTCATCGATCTGTTCTCTTTTGCTGCCCAGTATTTCTTTTATATTTTCCTTTTATACATCCTTTAATTTAGTGCTTTCTTCAAAATACAAATACTTGTCTACTCTGATATTTTATTAAGTGTCATGCTTATAGTGTCAGAAAGTTACATAAATATGTATTACCTCCAAGATATCTTTAAGCTTTTATTAAGCAATGAAATGAAAAGGATGTCAGATTTCACTAAGTAATATTGCATAAAAATATTTGAAGCTTTATTTTTTACCTTGATCACAAGGAACTAAAGCTGACACTACAGGGCTGATTCTGTTCAAGTCTTAGATATGTTTGTGTATTATGGGAAGAAGAGGTTATGGCAAGGGTAGAGAAAGTTTCTGTTTCCATATACTCACCATAACTATTTTCCAGAAGGTGAATTCTGAAAATAGCTCCTGATTATTTACTCTCTTAGAAGTTTCTGTAATGCAAAAGAATAAGAAATGTTAAGGTTTTTCTCACAAAAAGGCTTTCCAACTTAATAGTTTCCTCCATCTTTGCACATCTCTATGCCTCAAAACTCCCTGTAGCTTTTATAGGTCACTGATCTCAATTCTAAATCACCCTTTCTAAGCTGAGTATCTGTATAACTACACTAAACTATTTTGATTTTACCTCCTACTATGCTTGGCCTTCATGCTCTTCAAGACTCAGAAATCTTTGAGCCCAGAATACTTTAAGGAAACTATATATACATTCTTCATTGTGCCTGGGACAGATAGAACAGAAAACAACAAGTGAGGTAAAACTACATGGATATAAAGAGTACTGTGAAAGGGTTAGGAAACTCAGCAACTCAGCAATTTATGGAGGAAAGAAAAGATTTGAGTGTGGGAAACTATAAAAGCCTAACAAAATCATGTAAGTGCTCAGATCAAAGGAATGGCCTGGTCTGGATAATCAGTAGAAAGATCAAAAATCTGACCCAAAAAGTAAGCTAGTTAACTGTATTTACCCTAATGTCAGAACATATGACAGAAATCCTTATCTATGGATGCCTGATTAATAAATTACAGCTCTTATTCTTTTAAAAATGGAAGAACAAACTATTAAATTGAAATATGATTTTCTAATTTAAAACCAGGATTATCTTCCACTCAAAATATAATTAAATACAACATGAAGGTGACCAATTAAATGTTAAACATGTAGAATTGTTGCTATCACACATTGTGAGCTTGCTTTTTTTAAATCTTTTTTTTTAATTTTATTATTTTGTGTGTGTATACCATCAAATGGGATCTGACTGGTACAGGAGGAGATTGCCCGTCCTTCTCCAAAGAGCATTCGGTGGATTCAAACTATGTACCTCTGGGATTGCAGTGCAGCTTCTTGCCACTAGGTCACCAGAGCTCCCTAAGCTTACTCTTTTAGTAGTGATAGATACAACAACAATGGTAAGATTTATTAAGAAATACTTTTTACCACACCATTGTTTCTACTTCTTTAAATTTTACTTTCCTGATGTTGTAGTTGTTCTGTATACCATCGAGTTGGAACTGACCCATAGCTGACCCTCCAATGGGTTTTCAGAGGTAGTTAATCACACAGAAGAAGATTGCCCATCTTTCTCCCACAGAGCAGCTGGTGGATTCGAAAAGTATGCCTTCTGGATTTACAATGCAGCTTCTTAACACTAGGTTGCCAGGGTTCCCTATAAATCAATAAAAATTCTGAAATATTTTATAACCTTTCTCTTGACATTTCCAGGCAATAATTACCAGGATTTTTCATGTTTTTTTAAAAAAAAATCACAACCCAAGTAACTAGGTGGAAATAAACAAATTGTGTACATGATAGCTATAGTATAAAGCAACATGCAATATATGGCATATGAGCAGTAGAGAAAATCATTTGCTGAATGTGTGAAACAGCACAATGAAAATTCAAAGAAATTAAACCATATTGCTAGTAAGGGAGAAGCTGGAATCTGAAATGTTCCTTTGAAAATTATATGTTGCTCCATGCAGTCATGTCAAATATGACTCACAGAAACCCTATAAACAACAGATGTGAGTCCTTTCCTCTCCAGTGCTGTCCTCATCATCTCTAATATATTGAACTCATTGTTTCAGACACTGTGTCACTCACTGAGTGTCATCCTCTTAGGCTTCTTGTCGTCCACCTTTGCAAGCATGACATACCTTTCCAAGAAATAGATTTCCCTAACAACATACACACATTATATGAGATAAAGCATCACCATCCTTACCTATGAGGAGCACCCTTACTGCATTTTCTCCAACATAAATCTGTTCTTTTAGAAATCTAAGGGATAGTCAGCACTCTACTCCAACACCACAACTCAAAGGCATTGGTTGTTTTTGTATCATCTTTATTCATTATCAAGTGCTTCAGATGAATAGCAAGTGATTGAAAATAGCACAGCTTGAATAAGATATACTTATTCTTTAAACTGACTTCATAGCTCCTCAGTAATTTGGAGAGATCCTTGATCGTACGCAAACTTGCCCAAAGTAAATTGTGTCTTGCTCTCCTGACTGCTGGTACAAAGGGTATTACTTGTGACAATTTCAACTGTTCTCCATCTATCATGATACTGCCAACTGATCCAGTAAAATATTATATAACATGAGAGCATTCTGCTGGGGAAAATAACTCAGTCTTATAAGGACAAATATTGCATATGATTGTTGTAAAGATAGACGAATAACTAGTAAGATGTGTATAGAAGCCTAAGAGGACAGAGGATGGAGTGTAGGGAGGAGAGGAAATCACTGAGATAACAGACTTTGGCAGGCAAAGGAGAGGTTGAAGGAATTGGGAAAGACTTGACGGGGACTTGAAAAGATGGGGTCATAATAGGCATGATCAATGGTGATTAATTTTATAAAATTCAATATAT